TATGGATGTTTATTACTCTCTCACGCAAAAACTACTGAACGGATTTTTAATTAAACTTTACAGTAATATTTATTCAGGATAGCGTATAGGCTATATTTTTTATTGAAATCTATATATTAAAATCTAATACGGATGAAACCGCGGGCACAGCTAGTAATTTATATATTGTAGTTCATAATCTTTGTAATTTAATAGATAATACGTATATAATATTGTTAAACACTTGTTGGTACCCGGCGCATGGCACGCCGTCGGTTGTCTAAACGCAATCATTTGTATTAATGAGTATAATTGTTTGTATAGGTTTGAGTTTTTTTTATCCATAAGACAAGCTCTGATTGACTTCGGACTAGATGGCGCTGTTTGAATTGTAAAAAAAATGGCAGCAATACATATAAATACATATAAGGCATACCAAAAGGGGTGGAAAGAAACGCAATATGAAATTTAACTGTATGGAAAGTAACAAAAAATATATTACACAATTAATTTTTGACTTTGTATGTACAATTGACAAAAAATAAGGTATATAATAAATTAGCTGACATATTTCAAATTAACTATTTTTTTTTTAAACCGAGGGGTTTGTGACTTTTCCGATGAGCCCCAGGTGGGGAAAATCCACCCTGGATTTACCCACCTAATGGATCATGTAAAAAAAATACACACCTGACATTTAGGAAAATAACCACATATTATTTATAGTCGTAACTTTATCCAAAGTGTAAAGGACAAAGTTTATCTACTATAGATACGAAAACTATATTTAGATATATATATCTATAGATACTGTAATTAAATATGCATGCATAAGGTGTAAAACTAAAAGACTGAAATATAAAAATTTTGGAGAAAGAACTATAGAGTCGATATATCAAAATAAATATTTTTTTTCAATTAATAATGCTTTTTTTATGGCATGCTGCACCCGCCTGTGCTAAAGGCTTTCACTGGCGGGGCACCAGTGAAGGATGATAGGATGAACATGAGGTCAGATCAGTCAGATCAATTAGACCATCGTGACAAATTCACAAGCAATTTATCACTATAATTTCCAGAAGGAACCGAGTGGAGGTCAACCTGACATGGTCTGAGTTTTTGTATTGATTTGGATGTACGTATATTATGTAAGTATGCACATTGTACTTTCATTTTGTATGTGCAAAGGCCCCATAGCCTATGCGTTGCCCCCAGGTAGTTTCTGCTTTGCCTGATGCTTAATCCTAGGCCCTGCTTAGAAACATTAAGTGTGAACACACGCCTATCCAAACACATACGGTAATATTTATTGAGTTGTATATTTGCCTTTATATTACAATCGGCGCTAAAAATATGACAATAAAATTATTAAAATTTATTAGTGACTCTCTACAGTTTTGTGCAGTTGCAATATTTGTGGAAATCTCGATTAATTTAATACTAACTACCCGCCTCTGCTTTGCACGGGTGTAGATATTTTCTACTTATAAACCTTCCTCTCGAATCACTGTATCTTTTCGTAAAAACTGCATTAAAATCCGTTGCATAGTTTAAAAGACCTAGAAATGATACATTTTAAAATAGTAGGTATATGAAGTACAATATCAATTTTTTTAGGAAAGGGTTTTGTTTATATTTTAAGTATGTTTTTTACTTTAATTATTATTAAAAACATAAAACACTGATAGGTATTGTTTATATTTTAAGTATGTTTTTTACTTTAATTATTATTAAAAACATAAAACACTGATCATTTCAGATGAGATAATTCTGTAATTTACCTGTAGGCATATCTTCGTAAAAACGATAAAATATGTTACGATGTATTATTGTCGCTAACAGCAGACCGATTTCCGTGATGTGTTTTGTAACAAATAAAATACATTTTTAGTGGATTATATACTATGGTACTATGTTCTTAGAAGATATTATTATAATTAAAAACTGTATTTAATATACTTGTCTGTAACAATTAATTATCAATTACCCAACTTAAAATACAGGCTGGATAAAATACATACTAGTTTTAATAAAAAAATACTTACTAATAAAATAGAGGAAGTTCAATTTTCTGAAGTATTTTGAAACTAGCTGTACCCGCGACTTCGTCCGCGTAAAATAGTGACCTTGATCAAATAGTAAAAAAAATATTTAATGACCTAACCCAATAAAAGCCAAACCAAAAAGTTTCATTGTTATACAATCTTTCATAACCCTTTAAACCCTTTATAACTGTCTTTATACGACACGTCAATAGTTACCTATATACACATCAATAGCTGTCTTTATACGACACGTCAATAGTCACCTATATACGACATGTCAATAGCTGCCTATATACACGTCAATAGCTGTCTTTATACGACACGTCAGTAGCTACTTCTTTACACGTCAATATCTGTCTTTATACGACACGTCAATAGCTACCTATATACGACACGTCAATAACTGTCTTTATACGACACGTCAATAGTTACCTATATACACATCAATAGCTGTCTTTATACGACACGTCAATAGTCACCTATATACACATCAATAGCTGTCTTTATACGACACGTCAATAGTCACCTATATACGACACGTCAATAACTGCTGTCACTTCTTTATACGACACGTCAATAGTCACCTATATACACATCAATAGCTGTCTTTATACGACACGTCAATAGTCACCTATATACACATCAATAGCTGTCTTTATACGACACGTCAATAGTCACCTATATACACATCAATAGCTGTCTTTATACGACACGTCAATAGTCACCTATATACACACGTCAATAACTGTCTTTATACGACACGTCAATATGTCTGTCTTTATACGACACGTCAATAGCTTCCTTTATACGACACGTCAATAACTGTCTTTATACGACACGTAAATATCTGTCTTTATACGACACGTAAATAGCTGTCTTTATACGACACGTCAATAATCTGTCTATATACACATCAGTAGCTGTCTTTATACGACACGTCAATAGTCACCTATATACACATCAGTAGCTGTCTTTATACGACACGTCAATAGTCTACCTATATACACACGTCAATAACTGTCTTTATACGACACGTCAATAGTCACCTATATACACATCAATAACTGACTTCACATACGACACGTCAATAGCTATACGACATCAATATCGACATGTCAGTAACACGACACGTCAATAGCTACCTATATACGACACGTCAATAACTTTCTTCAAATATATATTTCAATAAATAGTCTAAAAATCATATAATCATTTAACTCGTCAATAAATTTCTTACATACGACATTTCAATATTTATATTTAATCAACAGTCCTCATATACGAATCAATTTCTTCACACGACACGTCAATAGCTTATATAAAATAACTGTCTTCATCCGACATTTTATTCTTAACGACACGTCACTACCTATATACGACACGTCAATATTTCTTCAAACGACACGTCAATATTACCTATATACGACACGTCAATAACTAAGTCTTCATACGACATGTTCTATCTTCAAAACACGTCAATAACGAATATACACGTCAAAACTTTCATCCCTTAATTTATTTTACCCCCTCTAACGACACGTCAATAAAACACGTCAATAACTATACGACACGTCATATTTATTTATATTTCATTACGACACGTCAATAGCTACTCACAAATAAGTCTTCAACGACACGTCAATAGCTTCATACGACACGTCAATAACTGTCTTCATACGACATCTTTCATCGACACGTCAATAACCTATATACGACACGTCAATAGTTTTTTCGCATTAAATAGTCAGCTTTTAAATTAACATCAATAAGTAAATATACGACACGTCAATAGCTACCTATATACGACACGTCAATAACTGTCTATAACAAATAACTGTCTTCAACGACACGTCAATAGCTACCTATATACGACACGTCAATAACTGTCTTCACACGACACGTCAATAACTGTCACACGTCAATAACTGTCTTCACACGACACGTTTCAATAACTGTCATATACGACACGTAGAATATGACACGTCAATAACTGTCTTCATACGACACGACTGGATGGACATCACTCATCTGCTTCTTCCTTATCCCATTTATTTGGGGTCTACCTATATACGACACGTCAATATGTTTTTCTCTTCCGACATGTCAGAATGACTCTATATCACGTCAATAGTTAATATACGAAGTCAATAGTCCTCCAGAATGCCATACGACATTCATGTCATATACGACGTTATTATATTATACGACACGTCAACACTTTTAGATTTTTACTTATAATAATATTTCTTATATATTAAAATATATACGACATTTGTTAGACACGTCAATAGCTACCTATATACGAACGTCAATAACTGGACTTCATAATTGTCAGTAATTTCTTCAAAGACACGTCAATTAAATAAACACGTAAGAAAGCTCTTCATGAAGAAATTGCATGGGAAATAGTAAAAACAACAATTTTATGACATAACTAAACTTTGACATATTATTTAATTCTGTCGGAACAGAGGTCGCAGGGTCAGCTTGTTTAGAATAAAATATACACAACATTAGTTAATTTTTTATTATTAATTTATCTATATGATTTCATGTTAAATACGCCATTTTTATTTCTTCTACACGTCAATAGCCACCTATATACGACACGTCAATAACTATCTTTATACGACACGTCAATAACTATCTTTATACGACACGTCAATAACTGTCTTCACACGACGTCAATAGCTGACACGTCAAACTGTCAGTCTCTCATACGACATCAGTTATATATCAATAGTTAACCACATTTGGCAGCCTACATACAGCTTTTTCTTAATATATATTTAATAAATGAAAAATTAAACTTCAAGTTCCACAATCCATATATTCATTTAACTTTCCTTTAAATACCTTACGATAATGTGTTTCAGGTTTGAAAATGGCGATATATCCATACAACCTTGTACCTACCCTTTCGATCCCCTTAAACCCTTTTCCATATTAAAAAGTATGTATATCCATTCTCAGGTGTTAAATTTTATTTAAATCAACTTGTGAGAGATCGTACGATGGGGGTACAGGACGGTTGTACAGCTCGATATTTTCGATTGGTAGGTAGTTGAATCTTCTGAAGTCCTTGCTGGTGATGCTCTGTCCGAAATGAGAGAGTTGGCGTGCTGAAGAGCCAGCTGGTGCGTGTCCGAGGATCACTGGCGTTAATGTCTGCAAATAAAATTCAATGGAGATATTCAGATTGATGTAATTGAACTGGTTATGGTCATACATACATATAGATATTCAGACTGATATAGCAATCAATATAATTGGACTGCTTATAGCCTAATCATATGGTTATTATTAAACTTTCTTTAGCTTTATGCATGCAAAGTCTCAGCCCGATCGGTTTAAAATTGACAAAGTTTCATACAAACTTTCATCCCCTATTTTATCCCCCTAGACTAATTGTGTACAAAATTTCACTTAAATCTGTTCAGTAGTTCTGGCCTGTAAGTCAGAAATTGTACAAAATTTCACTTAAATCTGTAATCAAAATCCTTTCTCAGCGGATGCCTACGTCATAACATCTACCTGCATGCCAAATTTCAGCCCGATCCGTCCAGTAGTTTGGGCTGAGCGTTGATATATCACTATGTCAGTCACCTTTGAGTTATATATATTTAAATAGATTTCGTCCAGACAGAGACATTTAACTATATTTTTCTAAAATAAAAGATTTTTTTAAAAAATAAAAATAGCCTAAGTTACTCCCTATTTCATCAGCTACCTGCCAAAATAAGTCCCGTTAAAATCGCTCCAGCCATTTCAGAGATTAGCCGGAACAAACACAGACAAAAGTGTTTATATTCGTATGCATGTAGTAAAAAACGGTTATTTCAATATTACAAACAGACACTCCAATTTTATTTATATATATATATATATATATATAGATTATTAAATAGATACAGTATATGTACTTACAGTGTTAACTTGTCCTACAGTTATATATATTGATAAAGTTACCACTTTTAGATTTTTACTTAAATATTATTTCTTACATATAAAAATGAAATGACGTTTGTTAGAGATTAACATTTGCAGTACTCTAAAGAAGAATTAAATAATGAGTCCAAGAAATTGCCTCTCTACGTCCTAATAAAAGCAACAATTTTATGGCCAATCCAGGAATGGTATATTCTGTCGAGTCTGAAAATTAGAAATCATTTGAATTAGGTTTAGTTTAATATTTACTTTACAAAATACGCCATTTTTATTTTCGCTCCATTTATGGTATAACGGTTCCAGGGAGTCATTGCACTGTTTCATAAGACGAATCAAATATGCTAACTCTTCTCTCCAATACATTTATGAAAATATCATCTATGCCAGAAGGAATATAGTGTCAGTTTCAAAACGAGTTAAATGTGATTGCAACTAGATAAAAGCTTGTACGTAACAATAACAAACTGATTTTACCTAAATGTCGTTTGGCTAAAGTTAGTAATTCGTTTTATGGAAATTGCGTAAGGTTTTACATTAAAATACCAGAGTCTGTTATATAAATCTGCCAGAAAAAAGATTTAAATGTCAAATAAAACAGTTCCTTTGCAAAAAAGCTTACTTTTATAGTAAGCTTTTTGCTTGAAGAATTCGTTAACGATAATAATGTTTTTATAGAAAAACTTTAAATCTATAGCACTGACAATATTATCTGATTACATTAATAATGAGTGAACTAGCACTTCTATGTTGATTATCGACAAAAATTGTAAAAGATCTTACTTGTTATACTGTAATTATTTATATAAAAAAAAAACATCTATTTAAAAGAGCAACATTTATATGTACAGTTTTAAATATATACAGTCATTCTTCTTGTCCTATGAATCTGCATTCCGAATGAGTGGTAGAATCAAAATATGACTATTCAAAAGTGTTTGTAATGAGTTTATTTGAATAAAGATTATTTCTATTTCTATATCTATTTAAATTGATGATGGAATTGTGCATCCTGTGAACTAGTGGAATATGATATGATGAGAATGAGATCAGGTCAGTTAGCCCATGATGAAAGTACTCGCATGTACATTACTAACAATGGTGCCCTAGTCTCCATTACTAAGGCCCCCTTCCCCCAGTTATGGTAAGTTTGATCCGACGACGACCTCGGCGGTCTAACGGTGTAGCATGGTCGCAGATTCAATTCCTCGCACAGTACACTTTTAATTGGATTCAGTACGATTGTTTGTGTCGGTCTGGGTGTTTTCTATGCATATTATATATGTATTTAAAAAATGTTTCTACGTATTTGTATCAGTTGTAGACAACTGAAGAAAACATAGAAATATTTTTTTATTATTTTTATGGCTATATAGAGTACCCATAACACTATCTCTGCTTGGCTTGGGACTAGATGGCGCTGTGTGAATTGTACAGAAATATTATTATTATTCAAACATCTCTAATAGAATAGAATAGAATAGAAAATCATTTATTCAAATAAACTTAATTTAAGCACTTTTGAATAGTCAACATTTTTCTAAATCTACCGCTAATTCGGAAAGCTGTCTCATCACAAGAAGAATAAGCAAGAAACTTGTGTGTTGCTCTTTTAAACAATCCTTGTAAGTTCACGTTTCACAAGTCGAAACGTGTGAATACAAACTACCAACCAATACTAATTTATTTAGGCTCAAATATAAAAACACAATAATATTAAATCAGTCAGTCTAATAAAGACACTTTACATTGGTTCCTTTTTAATTTTTGAGTTGAACAGACATCGGCATATATGTATACTAGCTTTTGCCCGCGGTTTCGCTCGCATTGAAATATTTCTGGTTGCTAGATGGCGCTGAAGTAGCAAAATGTTGATATATATTTTTTTTTATAAAAACATTTGTTTTTTATTAATAAAAAGTATCCTATGTACATTCTAATACCTCCAAGAACATGATACAGAAATTAATGATGACGTAAAAAAGCGTAGCAAACATTCAACCTTTACATTTATAATATTAGTAAGTATATATGTACAATTTTTTTATATTTATATTGATACAATAACGACTACCTGCTACTTTATCTATGAATATTCTTTTTCTTCTGATAAGTGAGAATTAATTACAATGGTTTCAATATAAAAAAAAAATCGCTATCGCGTTTTTTTAGGACTATTTAAGAGAATATACATCAATTTGACAACTCTCACTTAGCAGAATATTCTTGACTCTTATGATTCACTTATAAACTACAGCTTTTATATTATTCCGTTGTATAAGCTACCTTACTGTAAAAATTTCAATAAAATCGGCTCAGTAGTTTTTGCGTGAAAAGGTAAAACATCCATACTTACAAACTTTCGCCTTTATAGGTAATATTATAAGATTTTTTTATACCACTTAGGTGGCAAACAAGCATACGGCCCATCTGATGGTAAACGGTTACCGTAGCCTATGACGCCTGAAACACCAGGGGTGTCACATACGCGTTGCCGACCCTTAAAAAACCTTAATATACCCTTCTTGAAAACCCCCATGCTGTAGTCTCTCGAGAAAACCTCGGCAGGTAGTTCATTCCACAATCTAAGTGTACACGGGAGGAAGCTCCTCTGAAACCGCACTGTCCGAGACCACTTAGGTTCCAGCGTGTGGGGATGAATTCCCTGTCGATGGCGAGCGGTGCGATGGTAAAAGGTAGCTGTAGGCATCATGTCAAACAATTCATCAGAACACAGTCCGTTATATATTCGGTAGAACACACCTTCGGTAGATTTACTCTTTAAACCAGAAGTGAACATTTTTATTAAAATTTGAGCGATTAAAACCGCGGGCACAGCTAGTAAATAATAAAATTAAATAAATATACTTACTTCAAGAGGTGCGCTGAAATGTGCTCCAAGCTTGAATGCGAGCAATTCATTGTTATTAAAGAAGGCAGCGGGCGCCAGAGCATGGAACGAGATGACCTTCTCATTGTACGAAGGTTGCAGAGAATTGAGGACGAGCAACGAAGTACAGCCTTGGGAGTGGCCGATATAATGAAGCTGTGATTGACCAGTCTCCGCAAGCACATAGTCGAGTAGTGTGGGCAGATCAATGTTGCCAATTTGTTCCCAGCCGAACTTCCAGAACTCTGGGTTGCGCAAATCATCAGGGTCCAACACGAGGTTGTTCCTCGAATAGTAGTTTCCTCTGGCGTTGCCTAGCCACACGTCGAAACCGGCCTCGGCGAGAAGGTAAGCTGTAAATATTTTGGTTTTTAAGAAGACTTTAAGGAAAATTGTTGACTTTAAAAATAGTGGGTAAATCAGTAAGCTGTAAATCTTATATATAAAATTCTCGTGTCACAGTTTTCGTTCCCATACTCCTCCGAAACGGATTGACCAATTCTCATGAAATTTTGTGAGCGTATTGAGTAGGTCTGAGAATCGGACAACATCTATTTTGCATTCCCTAAATGTTAGGGGTAGGCTACCCCTAATTTTTTTTATTTTTATTTTAAGGCAAAACAACGTTTGTCGAGACAGCTAGTACATATATAGTTTTTATATTTAACTTTGAAAAATTTGTAGAAAAAAATCTGCGTGGGTACTTCAAGCTTGCCTGTTGCAGCTTCCTATATAATCTGTGTTTCCCCTGCAGTATGGAATTAAGGAAATCTTGATGGAGATATTCAGTGGATTACATATATCGCAGTAAATATGATTTACTTTCGTTCCGATCGCAGTTGCACGTTACGTACAAATTGTTACTCAGCAACAATACTTATTTTAAATGTGATGGATTATACTTTTTCTTCTTAAATCAATGTGCCTAATACGGTCCCTTAATCCATTACATTTAAGACACTCTACATCTTAAAAATAACATACATAATATAAAACTATATACTGAAGAGTAAACAATAGAACAACAGTAGTAAAAAACATATACAAAATTAAATCTGTTAAAATATTAATCACTGTTGGACCTATACATCTGCCATTTTCAGAATTTCGATTTGTTTTCACCACTATATTCAAGAATTCACTAAATTATATTCACTTTAGTGCTAGCTCATAACCTGAGGGAGATATTCAGTAGATTACATACATAGCAGTAAATATAATTTACTTTTGCAGAAGGAATATAGACAGTTTCAAAAGAGTTAGTGATTGCACTAATAAAAGCTTACGTAACAATAACAAACTGATTTTACTTAAATGTCGTTTGGCTAAAGTTTTATGGCAATTGCGTAAGGTTTTACAATAAAATACCAGAGTCTGTTATAAATCTGCCAGAAAAAAATTTAAATGTCAAATAAAACAGTTCCTTTGCAAAAAAGTTTACTATAAAATTGAAGAATTCGTTAACGATAATATTTTTTTATAGAAAAACTTTAAATCTATAGCACTGACAATATTATCTGATTACATTAATAATGAGTGCGTAGCGACTTCTATGTTGATTATCGCATGCCTCTTACTTGTTATACTGTAATTATTTTTATTTTGCGCAAAAGAAAACATCTATTAAAAAGAGCAACACACAAGTTTCTTGCTCATTCTTCTTGTGATGAATCTGCATTCCGAATGAGTGGTAGAATCAAAATATGACTATTCAAAAGTGCTTGTAATGAGTTTATTTGAATAAACATTATTTTTATTTGGTTCTGATCACAGTTGCACGTTACATACAAACTGTTACTTAGCAACTACTTATTTTAAATGTGATGGATTATACTTTTTCTTCTTAAGTCAATGTGCCTAATAAGTCTGTTTTTCCCTTTAAGTATTAAGACAGTGAACTTAAAGGTTATAAAGGTATAAGATCTTAATTTTCCGGAATGACAATGAATGTTATCGTGGGTGTCACATGATAACGAGATATACGTGGTACTAGTGGTAATAATGGTAACGTGATATAGGTGGTAGGTACGCATAAACATGCGGTTACCATCAAATTTACCATCAAATTGGCATTTCCGACGATTAACATTTATCATTAGGCCGTCAGCATTTGCCACTCTAATCAAAGAGATGTATGCATTTACTTAACTACATATTTCTATCATTTGTATCTAGTAAACAAGGTTTGCTTAACTAGAAATAGAAATAATATTTTTTCAAATAAACTCATTACAAGCACTTTTGAATAGTCATATTTTGATTCTACCACTCAATCGGACTGTAGATTCATCATAAGAAGAATGAGCAAGAAACTTGTGTGTTGCTCTTTTGAATAGATGTTTTTTTTATATAAATAATTACAGTATAACAAGTAAGAGGCACTAATAGATGTAGAGAAACATATTACTCTGAGCAAAAATAAATGGGATAAAGAAGAAGGTGATGATGATGATGTTAATGATACTAGTATTTATAAAGAAATGTACTTTATAACAACTACTAATATTTATCCAGCACCCAAAACACAAGGTCTGCTTAGCTTAGGACTTGATGGCACTGTGCCAATTTTCATAAAACATTACAGTTATGTTACTATTTTCGGTAGATAAAAAATATAATATAAATAATTTGACAGGGCATTTTAGCTGCTTATGAACGCAGCTAAAATGTCCTGTATAATTAAATGACTTTTGATTTGATTACTAAGAAGTCTCACCTAAAGCTGTCCCTGGGCCTAGGACTAAGAATTCAGCTGACGAAGAGAAGAGACCATGGAAAAGGAAGACAACCGGTCTGACTCCCGGCTCGTTGTTCTGATCTCTGCCATGGGGGATCCTATGAGCTTCCAGTACGTAGTTATCAGATGTAACCACTGTGTGGACTTCCACGGGATATCCATATTTTCTGATTAAACCAGGCTGGAATCAAATAATAATAAGATATGTACGTCTATATTATATATTTAGATGCTTTTTGATCTCAAATTATAGTTAATTATATGTATAATTATATTATTTATGTTAGGACAGGTAGGGCTGAACACCGCAACTTCATCTGCATCACTTATTTGACATTTATCATTATATTTCGCCGAATTCACATAATATCTTTTTAAATTATAGCCTATATTATATTCTAATATATAAGCTATATTACTGTAAAGTTTAATTTAAGTCCGTTCAGATTTTTTGCGTGAAGAGTTAATAAACATCCTTATCCATACTCACAAACTTTCGCATTTAAAATATTAATAATATATAGTTACAACATTAATTATTTAATACACTTTAAATTATAAATAACAAGACAATAATCAACAGAAATTGTCCCGAAAGTATCCGGCCCGAAGGACTCGTAACGTTGGTAGCATTTCCGGGTTTATTAATTGTTAGAGAAATCCTTTGTGCCAGACGATCCAGAACAGAGATCATGAGTTCAATCCATAATGCACTGTCATGAATTACGTCACATGTAAAATGGAGGCGGGGGAGAGGGTTGACGAGGTCGTAAGACCACAAAGAGGGGGGAGGATGTTAGGGTCGACGAAGACGTAAGACCACAGATTACAGATTACAGAATTACATAGGTGAAATAAAGGTGACTACATAAACGACTTTTTGCAAAGTATTCTGCAAATAAATGATTTGATTTGTAAATTTTTATTTGAATAAAGTCGCTTACGTTGGTACCTCCATTTTTCTTTTTCTAATTCTGACGCAACAATATTAGATAGGTATATAACGAAATCGTTAATCCGATTTTTAAGGAAACATAGAAAAACTATGCCTAAATATGTTATCGCATTATTGTAATTATCTGTCATTTGTTATTTCCTTAATACATGAAATCTACATAAGTATAGATAACCACATATTCGCTCATTCACAGTTTAGTTGTGTTATCAGGATTCTAATCTGGCTTAATATATTTCTATTTAAAACTAGTTGTTCCGCGCAACTTCTGCATCACAATTACTTGTTATTTATCATTATATTTCGCCCCATTTACTTAATATTATTTTAAATTATAGCCTATGTTATTCAGATTTATAAACTACACCTATTAATGTAATGTTTCATCAAAAATCCATTCAGTAATTCTATATCATCAGTTCATCATCCAAACTCTCAAACTTTTTCTGTTTATAATATTGGTATACATATAATTGGTTGAGTAACAAAATAAAAATAATTATCTATCTATCTATCTATCTATGTTTCGTTTATCCAGAGAAATTATGGGGTACAGAGGTCATTCGAGAGAAGTGAAATGTAATGCCTTCAAATACCCTTTAATCTTTTTAACACATCTTACACAGCAAGCTTGGGGGAATGAGGATGAAGTCAGATCTGTTAAACCATGGTGGCGGATTCAGGAATTAACCACGATGGGAAGGAGAAACCATGCGAAGGTTGTCTTGATACCATTGACAGCAATGAACATTACTTCTATTTTATTATATTTGTAGCGAATACCTTTATACATTTTATATTATTGTAATTGTATTCTTTGACACGTTCCTCTTTATTACATTCATTTGTACATTTTGTTGTCGTATCAATCTCATCTATTAATTATCCCTATACTGTACCCCCGGTTTCACCTGCATGAAATTTTATAGCTCATGTTATTCTGATATATAAGCTATACTATTGTAAAGCTTCATTAAAAAATCCATTGAGTAATTTTTGCTTGAAAGACTAACAAACATACATCCTTCCATCCACGCTCACAAACTTCCGCGTGTATAAAATTAGTAAGATATTATCTTAAAACCCTCGTAATCCACTGTTCAGGTACATTCACCTCTCTTTCACTATTCTTTGAGCATTTTTGCCTTTAATATAACTTTATAGCGGGGTTCCTCTGAAAAGTGTCTCAGATGTCTCAAATCTACTAAAACAAATACTAAATACTAACAATAAGAGTACATAGGATATATACTCTATCTATCCTATCCTATCCACCACTGTGGTGCATCGTTACTGTGTCACTGTGTATTGTTTTGAGTAATGCTTTCATCTCTAATTTAATGATTTGTTTTATTTACATTTATTTTATATAATAATTTATACGCTACTTCAGCATCGACATTGTTGTGGTGTAATAAATGTTATTCTATTCTATTATTTTCAGGAAAAGTACTTACGACATCGAGAAGGGCATCTTCAACCACATCGGTGGAGTACCTGCCTTCGTTCTGCTTCACCAACTCCTCGATGTAGTCAGCATGAGGTGATCTCCTAGCCACCGCAACCGTTACCAGCGCCGCAAACAGTGCAAACTTGATCATCGTGACCTCCAAACTAACGTCCAGTCTCAACTGCCAACCACCACTGTCCACAACAAACGCAGGTGGTACGATTTTGTTTTAATCACTATCAAGATTATTTCATAGTTTATACCTACGTGATCAATCATACAGATTACATGCGGCCTTGGCGGTGTCACATATTGTCTTACTTTCCGGTGGTGGCGGGTTCAAACCCCTCGCTATAAATAAGCTGTTGTTTTTGTAAGATGGCTGTGAACTAATTGTTTACTGTTTCGTCGCAGTCAGTCGTGATCAAAGTTAAACGCCATAATTGACGCCATAGATATCTGTGTGAATTTATATTTTTGACTGTTAAAGGAAACGCTAATAGAAAAGCAAAAATCCAAAAGACAGCAGTAGACTTACTCTCAGTCATATCGGTTTCAAATATATCTAGCGAAAAGTGAAAATGTTAAAAGTCACGTACAAATCAACAACCTACGACAAAGCTAGTAATCAAAGATTATCATATATAGTATATATAGTCGTTGTTCTTTGCTTTTTCTCATATTTAAAGAAGTTCTCTAATTTGACAGACAATTATTAAAAGCTTGATTGGCAGCTAAAATAGGTGACACTGAGGTACTCATGCATACGATTCTTTACAACCGAGGATTTGCGAAAAATCTCCTGCCTGAGTACCACCCTTCCTAAGTTGTCTGGAAGAGATTATAAACAGTTGGCTGCCTGGGTACTCTCAAAGTTGTGTGAAAGAAATGGTAAAAAGTCGTCTGTTTAAGTACAACCCCTGGCTAAGTTGCCTCGAACTTGAGTACCCATCTCTTTGTTGTTTGGAAGAGATTGTATAAAGTCTTCTGCCTGAGTACTCTCCTTCCTAAGTTACATACAAGAGATTGTAAAAACCGTCTGTTTAAGTATTCTCCTGCTAAGTAGTCTCGAACTTGAGTACCCATCCCTAAGTTGTTTGGAAGAGATTGTAAAAAATCGTTTGCCTATTATATTCTTTACAGTTACAAAGACCGCCTTTTGTACATTACCTTTGTGTTGCAACAATTGTTCAAAATTATATAAATTCAAAATATCTGTTAAATCATATTTACTGAGCAAAGCCTATTACTCACTAAACGATTACTTGAATGACGAGCGTACATGGCAATAGTTGTTCATGCAGTGGATTTTCATTTAATGTTAGACATAGACCTATATAAATATACATTGTAAATTTTTTGGCTAAAAAAAGTAATTCATTTGAATTTCTTGCCAGTTCTTCTCAATTAGATCTATATACCAAATTGAACGGTAGGGAAAAAATTAAAGTTATAATGTAAAAATTTGACGTTCTTAAGCGGCTAGAATGTCCTATATGAACAAATGATTTTGAATTTCTTATTGTGATGAGACAGCTTTCCGAATAAGCGGTAGATTATAAAAAATAATTATATCTATTCAAATTTGCTCAAATTTAAGTTTATTTGAATGCAGAATTATCTATTCCATTCTTTGTAATTTACTTCTGGTACTATAAAGAGTTAATAAGCCTAGCTCTGCTATAAAAAAACATTTGGGTCGATTATTAATTCTATTATTGTAAATACGGTGGCCTTGAACAAATATCTTTCGGTAATGCCAAGATTAAGGTTACTTAATTAATCAGTGTGTCAATATGATTACAGGATTGTACCTTCATGTAGATATGTTGGATATCACGCTCACTCATATAATAATTATTAAACACTGATTATATGTTGATACTTGATACTAAGTAGGCTCATGACAATAAAAATATAATGTATGCAATAAAAATCTGGACATGTACATATTATAACGTGTAATAATTAGACAATCGCGGTCGTCTTGTGGTTTTGTACCGTCTTTTCTTCGGATGGTCGCTAGTTCAGTCTTCGCACATTGATAATAACAATGCAGTCTTAGGTTGTCATAGTTAAGTGGTAGATAACTCTGAAAATATATTTAAACACATATACTGTATCTCAGTTGTAATATACATTGACAGGGTGCATTATTTTTCATTTGGAAACATATTCGAATTACGTGTATTCATGAGTTTATATATATTATGTTATAGGAATGGCAAAATGGAGGGGAGTACACATATTGTGTGTGTGCTCGTGGTACTCCAGTATAAATAATAGTTATAAATAATCCTGGACTATTAACATAGCGCCATCTAGTCCCACGGTAAGCAGAGCTTGTGCTATGGGTACTAGACAACTGATATAAATACTTAGATATTTTTTTGTAAATTGTTACATAATAAACATACATAGGAAACTCAGACACATATTAACAATTATACTCTTGAATACAAATGTTTGTACGGTGCGAGGAATCGAACCCGCTACCATCAGGAGGCCCATTGGCTGGTTTACCATTCATAAAATATACATATAAAAAAATTACTACAGTAATAGATAAACGACAAAAAACAATATTAGCAGGCATAAATTAAGAATTTTACAGTATTTGAATAACACGTAATTAATTACTATTTAATTAATTTTATCACACTAAAACCGGTGCTATCTATATTGATTAGATATAACTTCATTAATAGAATCACTGCCCATGTGACGACGTGACGTCACATGGTGGGTGGTACGTACTGAAGAAATATTATTATTCATTGGATGAAAATAAAAAACATAAAAAATATTTATTAATTTATTGATACAAATCATAAATAATAGAATTTTTAAGAAGTTTATTGTTCTCGTTGGTGATGGTCATGAGTTCAATTCCTGCACAATAATAATAATAAACAATGGAGCGCCATCCCATAGAAGGTATTTTTGCTTGGAACTAACAAATCAAATCAAAATATCTTTATTCATGTAGGTCTATTACAGACTCTTATGATATGTCAAATCTATCGTCAGTTCGGAATGATTTGTAATGCTATGTTGGGTTGACCTCCACGCGTTTCCCCCTGGAAGCTATCATGAAATTCCTGCTGATTCAGTATTTATAGGCTACCTGACCTGACCTCATCATTTTATCCTATACAGGTGCCCTGCCGGCGGGAGGCGGGTGCACCATTCCATTATCATACATTAAAATATCCATTAGGATATTATACAAATCCTAACAAGAAACAGATGAAAAACTTCGTTATTATGTATGTAATAAACAAGAGATTAAAAAATAATCCTAACTACACCAAACAACCCACGGATCGCTAAATCATTAAATAATTACTGACGACATAAAACGCTGTTATCAGAGTGATAAAAATTATCTAACACACGGTTGTTTCTGTAGAGCAGTTACTATGCCATCTATGAACAATGACTTAGATTAGAAAGATTGTTAGGAATTGAAGCTAATGGTCTAATTGCTAGCTCTATAAATTCGACCGTAATACACTTGCCCCTATAAATAAATACTTGACGAATTTGCTACGACGAGTTAACGGATTTAACTTAGGCTAAGGCAGTACATCGGACTTCTAATTCTTTAGTTTTAGATTTAATTAGTTTTTTACTATTGTCTTTTCTTACGTTTATTATTTGCACTTCCGTGAATCACATGCCACTTCCTATCTCACGCTGTGTTAGGTTGACTGAAAGAAATAATTCTTTAATTTTTTATTTTATTAATTTTTGCGTTGGTTTATTTGTTACTTTTATTATTTGCACTTCCATGACTCACATGCCACTTACTGTGTCACGCTGTTTTAGGTTGCTGGAAGAAATAGTTCTTTTTTGATTTAATTAGTTTTTTACTTTTGTCTTTTCTTACTTTTATTATTTGCACTTGTATATCTGTGACCCACACACCACTTCCTGTGTCACGCAGTTTTAGGTTGACTGGAAGAGATCTCTTTTAGAGATATATCCTCTTTTATTAATAGAATTTCAAATATGTATTTGCAATCTTGTATTTAAAAGTACAAAAGGAATATATATTGAGTATTTAATCGAAGTAGTACTAGTTGATAGTTTGTATTCACACACTTCAACTTAAAAATGTAAAGTAACAACAAAGTTATTTAAGAGTTGCTCTTTTTTCTTGCGATGAGACAGTTTTCCGAATGAGCGGTAGATTGAAAAAAATGTGATGACTATTCAAAAGTGCTTTAATGTAAGTTTATTTGAATAAATCATTTTCTATTCTATTCTATTGCAAAAAGTCGTAGTACCATTTAAAACTAAATGAGGCTATTTTAGCCTTGTCCTCCAAATGACCGCAAAACTGAATGTCACTGGATATATCAACGCCAAGGACCTCGAGATTGGGCTTCACATCAAGGAGAGTGTCTTGAAACTGAGGAGATACGATAAATGGAATCTTTTTTGCGGTGGTGGTGGACCGCCTTATTTGCCATTTCAAATATGAGTTATTAGTACATTAGTATTATTTATATCAATATTAACAACAAGTTTTAGTTTTAACATTTTCGGATATTTTGTAGTCCGGATTCATGATCACAGTACTTTTTCGTACAAGGTAATAAGAAGTAACTTAGGCTACTTTTATTTTAGAAAAGTAAAGTTACATTCCACTCGGACGAAGTCGCGGGTACAGCTAGTGTTAAATATACGACGTAATAGCGTCGTATATCGTGTTGGAAACTCCAACAAAAATAGGTATAAAACCTCCTCAATTATTTTTTTCATATTTAAATACAGAACGCTGTGTTCTCTATATTACGATTGTCATTTGTTTTTTATGTTCTTATATATTTTTGTTACACCGCTAATTATATCGACATTTTAATAAATACATATATATAATTACGATTTAATTTACAATTTGGTGTTTTTATAATTATTTACAACGAATACATCCATGCAACTCGTTGAGATTCACACGTATCGTACGTAAATAAACTCAACCATAAAACTGTGATACTTACAGATGCTTTCCCGCCGTTTTACTTTTTTAAATCAGCCTACTGTCTGTGCCGCGCTGCGGTCAGTTCGAAATTTAAAATAGTGCTGTTATGGAATATAACTTCAATATTTACCGCCAAAAACAAAAAAAAACTTCACATTTGCATTTATAACGCACACATGTTTTATAAACTTCTTTATGTAAGTATATATAGAAAACCGTTGAAATTAAATCCACTTTACGGGCAATGTGTTAAAAAAAAATGTAAATTGTCATTTCAGAACTTCTTTATTTCGAAATCAGCTCGCGACTTCAATAATTTACTATTTTAGATTTAGAATCATCTTGTATTTTTTAAGGAATATATAGTAGTATTTTAGTATTTTATGTCTAGAACAAGTTGTTTTTTTAGGAAAATATGCCTCAATCGTGATCATATAAATACGGCGGGTTCCATGCAACCAGCTGTGATACCTCCAGAGAATTTACAATCTAGATGTATAGATATAAGCAACCTCTTAAATAAATATAACAAGACTATAATCCTAGATTGAATGTTCGTAGGAATTTCCAAAGGCTACATTTTTTAGTAAGTTTTTTTTAGAGCTAGAATGCCAAGTGGTAACCGTCGCCTATAGGGGGGAAGGAGATTGTTAGTAACGTGGACACATGACCCTATTGGACGTCAAGACGCGTGATTTACCATGTCAGGTTGACCTCCACGCGGTTCCCCCTGGAAACCGTTGTGATAAGTTCGTGGTGAGGTTGACACGATGGGCTAACTAACCTGACCTCATATTCATCTTATCATCCTCCACTGGTGCCCCGCCGGTATGTTGTCAATTTAGATGAGATATTAAATTAAATAAAATTTACAACTAGCTGTTCCCGCGACCTAGTTCCCGTGGAATTTAACTTAGTTTTCTAAAATAAAAGTAGCACGCATTACATCAGCTACCTGCCAAAAAAGTTTCGACACACAAAAATTGTAAAAAATGTTATTTTGGTGTATGTACGGTACATACATTTATATTCATATGCCTGTAGTAAAAAATTGTTATTTCAATATTACAAACAGACACTACAATTTTATTTATATGTGTAGATGGCTATAACCAAATAATCTATATTATAAACGAGAAAGTTTGTGAGTATGGATGAATATTTGTTACTCTATCAAATAAAAACTACCGAACGACTATAATTTAAATAGATATTATGTAAATCGACCGAAATATAATAATAGTCAAGTAAAACTGATGCAGACGAAGATGCAGCAAGTGTCATGTAAAGAATTAAAGCCGCTGTAATAGTAATTATAAATATATAAATAATTATATAAATAAAATATATAAATAAAAAATACATAAATATTATTATAAATATGACCAAGTTTACTTAAGTTAGAAATGATAATAAACATTATGTATAAATAAGCTTTATTTTGGCCAAACTATTACATTGTATCAAACGTTTAAGACATTGAAATAATTATGTAGTAACAATATAAAATTCACATTAAAAAAATAGCACGAAATAAACAAAAGGCCCAGTATTGAAGCTTGAGTATGTACTGTTGAAATTATTATAATCTTTACCATATACCTAAATCTATATTTAGATAGGGTACAGCGATAAAATCCGAGAAAAATGTTTAAAAATACGTTTTACAGTTAATTTTGTCTGTACTGACAATAATTACGATTTATTTTAGATGACACAATGACCAGAATTTGAGGTAGAATATATGAAATGAACTTATACAATTTCCTATTATTAAACATTAATTCTCTTATACAAAAGACATGCAATCGGATCTATAATAAACTGCAGTAACTAAAAAAATAATATTACTGGAATATAAACTTTAAAGTAAAAATATTAAAATCTATTTCTCAAAAATTTTAGGAAACAGTTCATATACGGCATGCATGCAAAATGTTATACAAAATTTTAGGTGTTGTGAGAACTATTTTGTCCTTTACTTACAACTGTTCTCTTCATTTGAATGAGAGTGACAAATATTGTTTTATAGATTTTTAATGACAGTTTAAAAAGATACAACAACACATCAAGAACGTTCTAGGGTTCATCAAGTTTCAATATTGGGTTTCAAGGAGACACGTTTATAAATAACATACTAATTGTACACAATATAGGGTATACTACAATTTATAAAAGGGAAGCCTTTCTTATAAAATAGAAGAGCACCAGCACATTGAAGTACTCTCTGACCTCTCCAAACACGCTAAAACGATACTTATTTTCTTCATTGGCTTTTTATTGCATCGTACCTGCCGCTAAAGGCTTAATTTTAATTAATAACATTTCTCATTTATGACAGATTACAATCTACAATTTTGCCGTCATGATCATCAGTTCACTGGACATAGGCCTCCCCCAAGGCACGAATATAAGCCCTTCTCTTCCAGTCATTACTCGAAACCCTACGTATGCCGTCGCTCCACCTAGCTGCGGTGCTTCCTACTCTACGTTTGCGAGTTCGCAATTGAAATGATATACTTCATTTTATTTAAGTGTTTTAGGCTATTTCTCGGTGCTTAGACCTGTAGCACTGTCCTGTTAAGTAGAATTTGCAGATGCCACTATGAAATAGATCATATAAATTCGCAAACCTACCGATTTCAATCCGTTACAATGAAAATTGTTACAGCATTATACAATTAAGCCCCGTTAAAATTTAGGAGATAAGGTCACCTACTGTTATTTGCGTCTTTTTAAACACTAGTATCACTAAACTCATCTCAGTCAGCAAAGAAAAAACGGTTGGTTTCAGGCGAATTTTACAAGATTAATGTTATTATACAACAATACTTGACAATCCCCACAGCGCCATCTAGACCCAAACTAGGCAGATTTTGTATTATGGGTACTAGAAAAAATGGTATAAATACTTAAGTACATTTTATTTTATAAATGCATACATAATATATATACAAACAGTCATACCCATGAATACAAATGTTTGCACCTTGCGAGAACATTGGAAGGCGGTGTGGCAAGCCGTCAAGTAATAAGTTATATAATATATTAAAATGTATTCGTATATTTTCAAAAATACTATAGTATTATTTAATTTATTGTATGTTAGCTTCGTATTGTTATTGAATAATTTATAAACTCTTTAATATACAGTTTTATTGGTGCAAATAACAGTGGGTTACACCTTTGACTCCATCTGCGCGGCTTGCAAAATGCAATATCATCTCTTCGGTCCAACACATTGAGCACACACTATAATATCATTGACAAAATACAAATAAACTTAATTCTTAAGCATTTAGCAGGTCATATTTTGAAGTGAAACTTCTAATAGATGTATTAAGATTTTTCGGTCACGAAAAAGCGTTACCGCCCCGTGGAGGGGGTAGACGTACCGCATTGTGAGAGAAAGAGGCATGTCCATTAAAGTTTCACTTCTAATTATAAATATTTTTTTATTTATTCTACCTCTAAATTTACAAAAGATTCAATCAACTGAAAGGAACAGAGATATTAATTTGAATTGATTATAAATTATTTACTTTAGTATATGTACTAACATTAATAGCAAATTAGGGATGTAATATTTTTATATATCTAGAGAGAATAGTATTGGACCTTATGAGTATTAAACCAAGAGTTAAATGTACTTTGTCGTCGTTAATATCTAAATAACACTATTCAAGGATTAGCAAATTTACATACGTAATACTTTCTTATTGCCTTATAGCGTTACCAACACTGGTTTATTAGAAGCAATATGTGAAATATTAAAAATAGATTTCTCATATATCTGGTGCACCAATATACTTATATATTTAATACTATCATTTGGTACTTAAATTGATTTGTAGAATTATCGAAATATATTTGTCTCGCTTACACTTACAGCGTACCAACATAGTTGGGGAGTATACAACATAGGTACCTATGTGTTTTTATATCTTAGCTTGGCTCAAAATGCTATAGGAATGCCGAAGATAGCACGAGTGTCGCCTTTATGAAATAGTGGGCTGACTTGTATAATTAAAAAAAATATCTTGGAATGCGCGAGTGCGGTTGAAAATTTATATAATAATTTTTATGACGATTCTATAAGTACGAAATACAAATCTGAGCGCCAAATGCCAATTTATGTTACATTTACGTATTATATATCATTCATACGTATTTAATATTTTCCTATAATTTAATATTTATAAATTTGTGCGCTATTTTTCTTCTTTTTTTTTTCATTTGGTCGATTATTTCATAGACAAAGTGATTAACACCGTGCAGCCAAACCTGAATGATTCTATTTTTAGTTATTGTTTGCAATATAGAAATACCTCGTTTTTATTTCATTATATTCATTATATTTATATTCTCGCGATAAATCTATTCATCATTCAAAATATTATTACAGTTTGCACTATTACGTTACACATTGTAAGATATTATTACAATAAAGTAATTTCCTATAATTGCACAAATGCTCTTAACTCTTATATAGTATTTATTGTATAAAAAGCCTATACTGACATTCACTTATTGATTTGCCGCCAAAAATTTTGCACTTTTTTTTTAAATTGCGTTAAAATTTTCAGTACGCTCCGACGCACACAAAACATTTGGTACAGCTTAAAGCAAACAGCAAGGAAAACCTAAATGTCTTATGCTTATGTAAATAATCGCTTATATAATTATAATGCCTAACATAATATTGCTACGTTGTATAGATACATAAAAAACGTATTGAAAATACTAAAGTTCATTAAATTTATACATTATTATTTAATGGTTGACATCATATGAAACTTATACAAATACAATCAATATATAAGAAGGGAAACGGTTACGACTAATGACTCTTATGTCTAATTGTCAATATAGATATATTTTTGTTCAGTCAGCCACCATTTCCGACGCAAACAACTGGATTGGACATGAAACTACGACCATGTGTTGTATTAGTATTGTATGAGCACATACATATTATTATGATTGATACAGTAACAAGGAAAATATTCTATTTATTGAATTATATAAATGATTTAACATCGTAATATTAATTTGCAACTGTAAATATCTGACAAAATAGAACCATATTCTTTTTTTAAACTAAAAAAAAGATTGATTTCAATTACAAATAAAATATAGTTAAGAAATTTTGGCGCCAAAACATTGACATTTACTTTTTTTATGGCACATTCAAACACTAAGGAAAGTGTGGTTCGGACGTCCAATCCAGTTTTTTATTCAACCAGCCAAATCTAATCCTTCCAGTCTTTCTTGATCTCGAAGCACCATTCCCACTGGAGGTGTACATTCTTATCATCGTCGGTGAACAGGCTGTTGACGGTGTAGGAGCCCCGCGCCACCATGCCTGATGGGGCGTCCTCTGGCGGCGTGGTGTAGGATTGGATCTCAGTTTTGGGAGGGTAAGACCCCACCATATGAGTCATCTTGTCAACTGGAATGCCATAAACAAAAAATATTAATTGACGGTCTCGGTGGTTTAGCGGTTTAGCACTCCGCTTTAATTCCGATGGTCGCGGGTTCGATTTTGCATTTATGAGTATTAGTTTTATCGGTCTGCTTTCCTATGTATATTATGTATGTACCATGTATTATGTATTTACAAAAAGATCAGTTGTCTAGTAACCATAACACAAGCTCTCCTTACTGTGGAACTAGATGGCGCTGTGTTAATTGTTCAGGTTTATTTATTTATTTATAATACTTGTAAAAAATTGTGATTGCAGGACCGGTGGTGAGTGTGTAGATACAGTAAGGTTAGACCTGTACAACGCTTACGACACTATGGCAATGGTACTCGTAGGTACACCGTTTGGTTTTTTAGTGGGTAAGAATCCCACACACTCTGGCATATTATTAAGATATTCCGACACGATAAAAAAATGAGTTAGTACACAACTTCACATATTCCATCATCACCTTGCCTTTATTTTTTATATTCTTATTACGTTTTAAATATTTAAAATTAGAATTTTTAGAATATAACTTTTTAAGTAAGTTATTTTTAAGTATTATTTAAGACGAAATTGCAAATGGTTTATAAGCAGCACAGAAAAGCTGATAAATTAAAAAAAATGTAATGCATTCGCAAGGCGAAGCCAGGACGGGTCGCTAGTATAAAATACATGACTAATTCTTTTCCTAGCGGCCTCGCACTACACGGTACTTCCACTAAAGGGTATCATACCAAACTTGTACAAATAACGCATCGTGAATACAATACGCGCCTACTAATTATATATAGGCATGATTATGACAAAAAATCTTACAACATACACTGAATGCAAATACATACCGGGTACTATCCAGCGGCAGAAACAGAGAACAAAGATTTGTTTAAACATACGTCAGCGATACATAAGAAAAAAAAAATGTAGTTCTTCGTATCAATGCACAGAAGAAAAAAAACAAGAAAAAAAAATTTAGAGCGTTTGAAGACAATGTAACTTTGTATGTATTAATAATACAAGCTCTGCTTAGTTTGGAGCTAGATGGCGCTGAGTATATTGGTCTGAGGTCTTATTTATTAGGCACATAGGTGAGGAAAATCGGGGGTAAATTATATTCACTGTTGTATATCCATTGAATATCTCCACCATTATTATTATGTACTAGCTGTGCCCGTGGTTTCACACGCATTAAATTTCAATATAAAATATAGCCTGTGTTATTATGATGCATACGCTATATTACTGTAGTTTCATCAAAATCCATTCAGTAGTTTTTGCGTGAAAGAGTAACAAACATTCAAACTTACATACTTTGGCGTTTATAATATTATTATGTATATATTACCTGGAACTCCTAATCGGTAGGTCTTCTGCACGTATTTGAGACCGTGCACTATCTCCCGCTGTACGATGAAGTCGATCCTTATTTTGTACTGCACACCCTCCTTTATCACGAACACCTGTAAACAAATAAACAGTATTTATAAGTAGCTGAATTACATTGGACACAACCAGAGATTGTAAAAAAATGCAATTTATAACTATATATATAATAATAATAATCTCATGACAATTCACACAGCGCCATCTACACCCAAGTTAAGCTAGCTAAAGCTTGTGTTATGGGTACTAGATAACTGATACATAGATATTTTTTTTTTCGTAAATACATATTATACATAGAAAACAACCAGACCGATACAAACAATCATACTCATGAATACAAATGTTTGTGGCGTGCGAGGAATCGAACCCGCGACCATCGGACGTACAACGGTGTGCTAGACCGCTAGACCACCGAGGTCGTCAAATAAATAATCCATATCGTAAAAAAACACAAACAATAAGACATTTTTTACTCTATTTCTTTGACGCAGTCAGCTAACTGGTCGTTAATAACCGGATTTTATCGGTAAATTTGGTTAATAACGGGTTTTAGGACAATAGTATGATGCCAATTGTAGCGGAATTACGCAAAATGATATAAATCTTAATAATCTTAATGGATAATGAATTGTACTTGCGTAAAATAACACCTAATTCATTTAAACAATCGTATTATGCTCACGTATTGCTAGCGGCAGGCACCTAAAGTTCATCTAGCGATAGTAAATTTTCCGCATCACGCATACCTACGCGTATGACGGATTTATCCGACCGTTCAACCGTCATAGTTCGGGTGAACTGTCGTGGGCGTAAATCATTGCCCGACATCTGGTACGGTGCGAGAGATCAGCAGATCTACTCCGGAATCTCAATCGATTTCTATGCAATGAAGATTTGTTTGATTCTTTTTATACACAATCAAAGCTAAATTTAAAACTTAAATTATCTTTTCTTTTACATTTAACTTTTAAATTTTGATAATGGACGATGCGCCCACATGAATCTCTGTTTGTCCTATGTTTGACTGGGAGAAAATGCCTCAAAGTATTAAGTCTGCCATGAGCATCTTAATTTGTATATTTGTGCATTGAAGTTTTAATAAAAAAAAATTACAATGTACGGTGTCATCAAACTTTTATACATACAGTTAGTCAGATTAAGTACTGTAGAAAGCTATTAAAACGCGATTTTGTACGCGTGGAATTAATTATCATATATATACTAGCTGTCCCGGTAAACGTTGTTTGGCATTAAAATAAAAAAAAAATTAGGGGTGGACTACCCCTAACATTTAGGGGGATGAAAATAAGATGTTGGCCGATTCTCAGACCTGCTCAATACGCTCACAAAATTTCATGAGAATGGGTCAAGCCGTTTCGGAGGAGTGTGGGAACGAAAACTGTGACACGAGAAATTTATATATAAGATTTTAATTAATCCCAAGTTACTATAACATTATCTATCGAGAAGTGAATGTGAAAATATTAATTTCAATCAACTTTAAAAAAGGATAAGATCCTTATAATTTTTTAAAGTTTTTACTTTTAGCTTTAAGTATTTATCTCAGAATTATTTTCTAGTAAGTGTCATGATGTTTTATTTTAAAGCTTTTGCTTTCATGTCGTACCATATAATTTAAACCAAGATCTGACTAGTAGTTTTTAAGTTAAGTTTAAACAAAAATAACTTTGAGAAAAATAGTGTCACTCTGAATGGCAATTATTAACTGTCGCCTAAACATATGGATCACCACGATTAGTTTTTTTTATAGTACAAGGCATAAACTTGCGGCCCACCTGATGGTAAGTGATTACCGCCGCCCACGAATATCCACACCAGGGGGATTGCAAATGCCCACGAATATCCACACCAGATGGTCAGATCAAATATCACGTCAACTGCAAATACATCAGGCATTCCAGCGGCCTTTTGAGATAGGAATCCTCAGCAGTGAGGGAACGATTAAGAAGAGAGAGAAGTTCTTTACTTGAAGGTTTCAATATCGTATCGGTACGGAAATATCATAGCTGGAAGGTGATTCCACAATGTGGTTGTGCGTGGCAAAATGCCTCTAAAGTTATCTCCAGAGAGGTTAACAGTAAATCTTCTGTGTATAGTATAAAATGAAGCTTCCACTGTCTGTTCGGTTTACATAATTTAATGCAATTTTAGGAATCGATAGAGTGATTCAAGAGGGAATAAAGGAAAGGGAGTAAATAACGGAATGACTGCGAACAGAGATGAATGGAAGAGAAAAACATATTATGCCGACCCCAAATAAATGGAATAATGAAGAAGCAGATGATGATGTTAGAGTGACTCAAGAGGAAGGTTTATATGTATAATACGTGTACATCCGTGTGAAGACGGGGCGGGTAGCTAGTGATATATAATATATTACATAGTATAAAAAGAATTCGCTTCCGTAGTCTGTTCGCTTAGATCTTTTAAACTACGTAACGGATTTTAATGCAATTTTTAGCAATAGATAGTGATTAAAGAGGAAGGTTTTATGTATAACTAGGTACTCGCCCCGGCTTCGCTCGGGTGTACATGTATTATATATATACCCCTTTCTCTAGAATCACTCTATTTAAAAAAAACCCGCTACAAAATCCGTTGCGTAGTTTTAAAGATTTAAGCATACATAGGGACAGCGACTTTGTTTTATACCGGTATATTAACTGTAGTTATGAATAAGTAAATCAGTTCCCCTGCACTTTTAGATGACTATGCACACTGTATGTTGTTGTTGGAGGTTCGCCAGTTCGATTCCGGTATCGTACGCTAATTACGACCGCTTATAATATGGGATTACGTACATCGGAGTACACCTGTCACAAACATTGCTGTTTGTATGTCACACTATTAGAGAAGTAATTTAAGCATTATATGTATAGAACATTTTGCGACTACCCTACCTGTACTATTATAAAATGAGGAATATTAGTGTCTGGCTGTCTGTTCGTTGCCTTTTCACGGCTGGAAGAATTTTAATAAAATTTATCATGACCTATCGACTTGTCCCGGCTTCGCACGAATCCATTATAAATCTTTGAATTTTTTGTCCTACTCGATATAACACGTATGTATTCTTAAACTTACGAAGTATACATATATAACTTCATCAAAATCGGTTCAGATTCTCTCGCGGACAAACAACGTGAAATTTTTATATATTACCATCTGACCCCGCAAATTTGTATTGCCATATAAATTAAAATCACTATTAAAAAATAGGGATTGGTGATAGAAGGGGTGGGTTGTAAGTATTTTTTAATACCACATAAAAAAAAATAGAAAAAATTAACACAATATATTTGACACTTAGGTGGTATAAAAATTTGTTATAAACCTATTCTCAGACCTACTAATTATACGTATAAAAATTCAAATCAATCAAAATCAATGAAGTCTAGGAGTATAAACACGAAATCTGTGACACAATTTTTTTGTTATATATATAAGATCATTATTTCTATGTACACATTGTCAGTTTATAATCATCTGTAATATACATCGTCTCGAGCAACAACATCGTATTATTCACCCGCAACAATACGTATAAAAATTCATCAAAATCAATGAAGTCTAGGAATAGTATAAACACGAAATCTGTGACACAATTTTTTTATATATTAGAAGATACATTTACTCATACCATGGTATGAGTAAATGTATCTAAATGTATATACATCTTCTCTCTACTTATATAGTAGTAAATTATATAAATAGAGAGTATTTCATATAATTATGGGGCTTCACTTCGTCTGCTTGTGATAAGGCAATAGCGAGCAATGTCGTCCGTAATATCAATCAATACTATCAATATACTGTACAGGGCCAATTAATTGACTTATAGGCGAGTTATGTGACTAATTGCCTGTGATTGCTGTGTATTACTGACCTATGTTGTACTAGCCGACCTGGCCACGCGTTGTGGCTTACAGTTTCTTTATATATAAAAACTAACTGAGCCCGTTTGTATTGCTATATAAATTAAAGTCGATATTAAAAAATAAGGGTTAAATTTTCACCCTTCTACCATCATAGAAGGGTGAAAATTTAGGGTATTTAAAATTAGGGGTTACTATATGTATTTTTAATGCCACATTATAAAAAAAATTGTCCAATAAATAAAAAAAATGTTAGAGGTGGACAACCCTTATCACTTAGGGTATGAAAAATAGATAGTAGCCAATTTCAGACCAACTGAATACGCATATAAAATTTCATAAAAATCAATATGAGTATGGTAACTAACATTGACACGAGAATTTTACATATAAAATAATTTGCAATAAAATAATATTGCGACTTAAAAGAGCAACACGTAAGTTTCGTGCTCAATTTTTTGTGATGAATTTAAATATGATATAGTCCAATAAGGTGAGAATAAATAAGAAATATGTATAGCTACAAATATACATCGAAATAACATAGGCTATATATATAAATGTCATGAAACGGGTGAACCCGGGGGCATGACTAGTATTAAATAATTGAGTAATATGGAAACGGGGCGAATATATCTGACCACTTTCGCATAAAACTCACGAGATTTACAGCCAATTAATCGTTACATTTCACGTTTGGTGTTCACACGGATAAAACCGCGGTCAAAGCTACCACTAAATAATAGAGCAAATAATAAAACAAGCCGAATATATCTGTACACTTTCGCATAAAACTCTGAAGAGCACTTATACAAAATTTACAGCCAATTTATCGTTACACTCCACGTTTGATGTTCACGATGCCACTTTCACTGCATTTGCACTCACGCCAATTATCTCAGAGCACTATGTAAAATGTACTGTTTAAACCTACAAAAAAGATTGAAGCCTCCTCGTACTAATAGGGGGCCATTCATAAATTATCTCAGACTAATTTCATGATTTTTAGCCCAACTCCCATCCATGTCACACTTGGTCACATTTACCACGATACTAGGCCTTAGTGTGACATTACATTAAGATTATCGTTAGTAATTAAAATTTCGTGTTGTTTTGAAATGTGACATCACGAAATTAAGACCCCTGCCTCCCTTCGTCACACAACTTCACACCTTATCGATACTCTCCTATTCCTTGTCACAGTTTATCGACCGACCCCCTCCGCTCCACACAACGTCACACATTGTCGACAGTGAGTGAGTGGGACAGACGAGTGAGACCAAATTTATGGATGACCCCTAAATGTGGGAACGAAAAAAATAAGAGACTTTCAACGAAGCTGTACGGAAGGAATGGCAATGGAAGCAACATGACTCGTTTTACACAAAGCGCTATTGTCACAGAAATAGACAATGTTCTCATGAACATGTTGAGAACAAAGCCTCTGTTATCTTTACTTCATCAGAATATTTTTTAACTTTAGTTAGCATTTTGAATCTATTACTGCAGTGATAATAAATGCAGACATAACCGAGTGGTGAAATGAAATTTTTACATATAATGAAACCAAGAACTGTCTGTTCGTCATATTGGACTCAAATATTTCCACCAAACATGAATTGGCACACCAATTAATTCACTTGCCATAACGTCAGCATTGTTTCTGACTACCCCATAAGACAACAGGCGTGACGATTGTTACATCTAAAAGTGCTGAAAAGCGGAACTAAAACTAAATGAACGAGGCCGTAAGTGACAATATCTATTGATACATACATAGTAATTGGACAGTTAATTGTAATATTGTTAATTGTATATTAAATCTATATAACGCCAACTATATTCTTGTGGCAACTGTGGTTTGCGTTACAACTTCTAAGGTACACTCCCTGCTAACATCGAACGGTGTCACTCGTTTTTTAGTTAGTAACTTAAAATGTAATATTTCATTAATATTATTAATAAATAAAATACAAGTTTTTTTATGCCCATGGTCTCGACTATACATATATATATACTCAAGTTGTGTTCAAACACACCGATATTACACAAACGTACAAATAAACTCTCAAATAATATTATTTTACATATAACAACTATGAAATACCTGCTTCTTAAGATTTGTCAGATCACCAGAGAGGTCCAACTCCACGTCGTCCCGTCCGGTCACGCATAGAGCCAGTTTCTTCACTATGACCTTCCGCGGGTCATTCACATCTGCACAAATGTATGTTAATTAGACAATTTTTTATTGGGTTGTTGAGGCTAATATCAGGTGCTTGGACCTGTAGCACTGCGACCTACATAGATCTATTGTGCCCGCCCCCTTTCAGAGATCGCTACCTGCACCTGTCAGGGGCAAGAATCGGAGGATACTTTTAGGAGCGATGGTTTTTATCTCCTCAGGAGAGTAAACTTTCCAAAGGACTACAATCACATAGGATGTGTGGTGGACAAGAATTGAAGAAGAAAATAAATTAATTAGACCTAACTATAATAGAAATGAAAACGATATAATGGTTGATAGAATTTATGTAAAGTTCCCACTACAATCACTAGGATGTGTGGTGCAAACAAAAATTTGTATAAGAAAATAAATTAATTGCATCACATAATGGAATGAAAATTTATTATCATATTTCGCCCAATTTACATATCTTTTTCTCTAATTGGCCTGTCTGAGTGCAAACCAAAAATTTGCGCATCGGCAACTAGGCCGACCGGACGCTTTGTCCGACATCACATTTACTTGCCTAAAATTTTATTATTATCATATTATATTAAACCATTTACATATCTTTTTCAATTATAGCCAATGTGTTGAAACCGCGGGCACAGTTAGTGTAAACATAATTTTTCGACCAAATCCAATTCTTAGTTTCAGAGATCAACACGTTCAATCAATGCAACTTTTTATATCAGTAGATAGAGACGTAAATATAAATATACCACACAATACACTGACCAGCAGAAACGGTATCATTGTGGTACTATATTATTTATACTGTGGTATATGTTTCCCGGCGTTTGATGCGTACACAATACGAATTTGCAACGGCGTTTAGACCGGCCGGTCGGCCTCCGATTTAATGATCTCATACGTAAATAATTCATCAAAGAAAACATTCGCAAATTACCTTGAGCTTATTTTTTAGAGAAGTATATTAAAGGTACGGAAAATACATAAAATAAGAATAGTCGTTCGCGAGAAGACAACATAAAAGACGCACTTCAACATGACTTAAGACAGAAATAGATATCTGCCCATTTGTATCACGTAGCCAGAGACAAAAGGTGGAGTCGCCATTTAATAAAATGTCTAGGACCGACAGGCAAAAGACGAGTAGGTAGACAGAAAAAGATGGTACGATAACATCAAAGAAATAGCAGGGTAAAATTGGATGAGTGTAGTTACAAATAAAAAATTATGTAGCAGGTTGGAGGTAGTTTTTAACCACATAGGACCATATTATGACGACCTCGGTGGTATAGTGGTTTAGCACACCGCTTTACGTCCGATGGTCGCGGGTTCGATTCCTCGCACGGCACAATATGTATGTATTTACGAGAAAATATATATATATATATATATATGTATTAGTATCAGTTGTCTAGTATCTATAACACAAGCTTTAGCTAGCTTAACTTGGGACTAGATGGCGCTCTCCTGAGATTATTATTATTATATTATATAAACAAACCAAATTAATTAAACCTAATATTTAAAATTGTAATTTTATAGAAATGAAGGCTTAAATAAATATTTTTTTTATGAACCGTAAACAATGTCTTACCTGATGCAATGTGGTATAAGATGATCATCATAAAATTATTTACTAATTACGTAGTATGTAGTAGGTATAATGTAACGGTTTATGATATTATGGTTATTTATGAGTATTTTTGTTATGTATTTACAAAAAATATATATATATACAAACGTTGTTTTGCTAGCTTTAGTGAAAAATAGATTGGTTGGCCGATTCTCAGCAATACGTTGTTATAAAATAATTTGCCTTAAAATAAAAATGAATAAATATGATATAGTCCAATAAGGTGAGAATAAATAAGAAATATGTATAGCTACAAATATAGATTGAAATAACATAGGCTACAAACGTCATGTCAATACGCTCACAAAATTTCATGAGAATGAAAAATAGAAAACTTGACACGTTTAAATATATAAGGCCGATTCTCAGACCTACTGAATACGCATCATAAAATTGGCCTGGGTTCATAAAATATATATAAGTCAATATCTCATGATTTTACACAATGTCAAAGACGAAGACTGGTAGATATTCTATACATAAAATATAAATACGGTACATACATCAAAATAACATTTTTTACGTTTTTTGTCTATCTGTCTGTTTGTTCCGGCTAATCTCTGAAATGGCTGAACCGATTTTGACCGGACTTTTATCGACAGGTAGCTGATGTAATGTAGGCTACTTTTATTTTAGAAAAATTCTTTTAATTTAGAAAAATAAAGTTAAATTCCACGCGGACGAAGTCGCGGGTACAGCCCGTAGTAAATAAAATTACAAAATAAAAGCCTCTTAGCAATGTCCTACAAAATACATTAGATAAGTGTTTCCCAAAGTGGGCGTTAAGGCTTTAATTTTATTTATTAATTATTTTATTAAAAAAAAACATTTTTTTTATTAAAAATTTTATTTAAAAAATATATTTATTATTTATTTTATTTAAAAAACGATAAAATTTAAGTATCTGTGTCTGAAGACTACATAAAGGCGTAAATATTTCGTTGGTCTATTTACAAATTGTAAGTGATAAACACGGCGTCGTCTTATCACTCAGATAGTTCAAATGATAACAGTGTGATAGAATATTCCAGATAAAAAAACGATATTTGATTTTCTTAACATCTAGTATATTGAAATAATCGTTATTACGCTTCACAATTATTTTATGGTCGGCGCAGATTGTTATTCTCTTTTATTGATCCTGTCTCTCAATTTTTTTCGGACTACTCTAATGCTGTTGGCCGCAACTGGCCTTTACAGCTTCACCTTCTCTCATTCTAACAACAATACTTCTCTTGTGCATGTTAACCTTTCTACAGTTCATATATATTCATTGACTATAACCGCGACTTCTTCCGCGTGGAATATAACTTAATTTTTCTAATAAAAAAGTAGCCTAAGTTACTCCTTATTACAACAGCTACCTGAAAATAAGTCCCGTCAAATCGGACTATTTCAGAGATTAGCCGGAACAAACAGATAGACAGACAAAAGTGTTTATATTCATATGCATGTAGTAAAAAACGGTTATTTCAATATTACAAACAGACACTCCAATTTATTTATATGCATAGATGATCCTTTTTCTAGTATTTAAACACATAATTAAATAATAAACTGACTGTTCAAATACATGTCATTATAATAATAATATCTCAAGAAAATACACAGCACCATCTAATCCTAAGCAAAGCAGAGCTTGTGTTATGGGTACTAGACGACTGATATAATACATAAATAAATTTACAAGTATAAAAATAAATACACACATAATATATGTACATAGAGAACACCCATACCGATACAATGATACTCATGAATGCAAATGTTTGCAACCGTGCGAATAATCGAACTTGAGACCATAGGGGCAAGGCGATGTTCTAAACCCCTAGACCACAGAGGCCGTTTTAATATTATTATTGTTACTTTATTGCAACGTTCTACATTGCATGAATATAACAATCTTTATAAAACAAAGAAGTCACCGCTGTCTATTCGCTTATCTTTTACGTTTACATTCAGCCGCTTCCCCTGCCACTCACGCTGCCGGAAATATTGCCGGGCGACAACTGAGCGAGAGGGCTGAATGTAAAAAAACGCTGCCACTCGCACTTCCAGTCCTTCGACTCGCGCACGAAAAACCGACAATCGAGGGAGCGTCGGGCAGCGCGAGTGGCAGCGCCAATGGCATTGGAATTGTTTCCACTTGTGTTTACACTCTCGCGCTGCTCACTTCCCTGCCCACACGGGCTGAGTGTAAATTGGGCATTAAATTACGCAACATATTTTAATGCAGTTTTCAGCAATAGATAGAATGATTCAAGAAGAAGGTGCAAATCTATAGTACAGTATAGAACAAGCTGAGAAATTCAAGGTTTGTAATGCCTCCGTGCGTACCCGGGAATGTTCACTAGTGTAAGATAAAATCATGCCTGTATGCAGGCTGAATACAGTGGACATAAATTTTAATATTTAATTAGAAACTATTATCATTGTATTCTGGAAATAAACGATTTGATTTGATAATAAATTTAAAATAGATATTGATCTACATGACATTTTCATTAGCGACTATAAAATTAAAATTTCTATTTGAAAGTTAGTGTAAGTGAAGAAACTGTATTATTATTATGATATATATGAATATAATTATCGAGAAGTTTTAAGAAATAGCGTATTAAATATCGTTCAGAATAAAAGCAGATAAAAGTAGAATGACAATACAGTTGTTTTCAATATAAAAGAATAGACAATAAAAATCATAAACACGTGCTTCCTGCATAGATAGCTTAAAAGGATGCAACTGGCTCATGTATGTATAGGTTGATGAATGTAATCCTTTACCCATAAGCCTAAGAGGGATTTGTGAATTGCAGTATTTAGTATTCCTATTTCTCTGCCTACATCAATAGGACACAGGCGTAACGAAGGCGGCATCGATGGTCTAGCGGTTTAGCACACCGTCTTACTTCCGATGGTCGCGGGTTCGATTTCTCGCACGGCACGAACATTTCTATTCATGAGTATGATTGTATCGGTCTTGGTGTTTTTGATGTATATAATATGTATGTATTTACCAATTTTTTTTAAAAAATTTTTGTATTTGGTCTAGATGACACTGTGCGAATTGTTCTAAGATTTTTATTATTATATCTATGTGAGTTCATTTGGCTGAAATGGTACCTTAGAACTTAGAATCAATACTATTGTACAAATTTACTTGTTTAATTAAACTTAAAAAATACAGTTGTTTACTATACTGATTACAAATTCGTGAAACAAAACTGATATGAACTATCCATTAATGAGAACGTACTAAATTTACCCACATTAATGGCTTGCTACTTCCTTTGTATATGTTACTATGTTATATAGATAAGAATAACAAAAAAGCAATGAATATTCTATTTAACTCAAAGAAAGTATGAAAAACAACATGTAGTACCGATCAGTAGGGTAAATTCATAATATACATAGAAAACAGACAACATAGTAATATATATAGAAAATACCCAGATTGATAAAAAAAAATCATACTCATGACTATAAACATATATACCATGCGAGCAATCAAAATCCATGACCAACCAAAGTAAAGATGTGTGCTAAGCCATCACACTGAGGCCATCAATATAATGTCAAAAATTTGGTACACAGCTCTAATGTTGTCAAAAACTTAGTACATACAGCTCTATCTATATGTTTATCACTACGACTGATTTAATCTTATTGTGTTTTTATATTTGAGCCTAAATGAATTATTGCTGATTGGTAGTTTGTATTCACTTGTTTCAACTTGTAAAATGTGAACTTACAAGGATTGTTTAAAAGAGCAACATACAAGTTTCTTGCTTATTCTTCTTGTGATGAGACAGTTTTCCAAATAAGCGGTAGATTAAAAAAAAAAATTAATTTTTTTAAACAAAAAGTGCTTAAATTAAGTTTATTTGAATAAATGATTTTCTATTGTATTCTAATTGTCAATAAATATATAGAATATTTTACCAGAATTTACAAACAACACCACAGTATATAGCTAGTAAATATAGTAGTATTGTAAAAAATTAAACTACATACCAACTACAACTGTCCCTGCTTGCGCTTGCCCCAAAAGAGCTTCTTTGTACTTCCTTAAGGACTCATCTTCTTGGTCAGCAGCTAGGATCTCCTCAATGGTCTTCTCAGGTGGAGGTTTGTATGTGGACTTGATTTCTTCCTCTGTCTCCTCATCGGGGGTATGAGTGACTTCTGGGTCTCCAGACATATTGGTTTCTACAATATTAATAATCATATTTTTTACTATTGAAGGTTTTGGGCTATTGTCAGGTGCTAAGACCTGTAGCACTGCAACCAGCATAGATCTATTATGCTCGCCTAGATATACAGACCTGTCAGGGACAAGAATTGAAGGATAATCTTAAGAGTGATGGTTTTTATCTCCTCAGAATAGAGTGTAAACTTTCCAAAGGAGATACTTCCTTTATGCATGAGTGAGCTACATCCACATAGAATGTGCAGTGGCATTTCCTTTGCAGCTAGGCAAAATCTGCAGATTGTTGTTAAACTCAAGCCTAATTTTGCCATGTGTTTATTCATTTTGCAGTGTCCAGTGAGGGCCCTAGTCGTGATGCATATATTGTTTTTACACAATAATCTACTGGGGTATTGATTCTAGTAGCCTGTGTAATAATAACCCAGGAAACTTCACACAGTGCCATCTAGTGCCAAGCACAGCAGAGCTGGTGTTATGGTTACTAAACAACTGATATAAATACTTAAATACATTTTTTGTAAATTAAGTATTTACAAAAAATGTATTTAAGTATTATACACATTAAACACATACACATGAATACAAAAGTTGATACAAATCTGACATTATTTTGCAAAAGTATATTATAAATTTTAGCAATCCATAAAAGATAATGTGCAGTTGAATCATAATTTTTCTTGTGCAGAATGATAGAAGTCCTCCCCAATTCACCCTAAATGTTAGCATAGACAAAAGTTTATTTGCAATTTTTTTCAAGCCTTTATTTACTAAACAGTAATTTTTAATACATCACATACAAATTTAAATTGCCAGCAATCCATAAAAAGTAAAATGGCAATTTTTGTTCTGCGAATAGAACTCCTACCCAACCAACCCTAAGTATTCATGTAACAAATGAGTCTTTTCCATTTTTTTTTTCTAGATTTACTAAACAGAGTATATTATAAGACATCATTTACATATTTAAATTGTCATATCATTCCCCTGTTTAGTGTCTTTGGACATGCTGCTTTCCATATCACCCTTCCTCTAATAAGTCTCATCAACAGTGAGTCACAGTTTTTTTATCTTATCAGACCATCTCATATCTATTTTTTTTTAATATTATAATGATGTGTCCACTGTGATTTCTCTGCTCCAATTGTTTTCCTCTAAACATGCGGCCTATCGTCGCCGTTTTAACGTTTTTATTGTCTTTACATCTGTCAATTGCAATTTTCCTTATTTGCTAATTAACATGTACCTATTTGTTTGTAAAATTAGATTTCTGTCATTATGAGGTGGAATGATTTATGTATAAGAGCACTTTATATGTATGCTCTTTAGAACAAGTATTATAATTTTTATACTGTTCTTTTGATAATTATACTTTCAGAACAGAATGAAGAATTATCAGTAAATAACAATTTATAATCATTTCATGATATTTTTTAAAATCATATGCCTGTATCTACCAGAACGGGATGCTGGCACGTGCTCATTGATTATGCAAGATTTAGATTTACAAAATTCCGAAACCATATTATAGATACTAATAATGAAAAACCGGGTTTAATCGCGAGCACGCCGCTTTCAGTTGGAACCGCCCTATTTTCATTGTGGATAACAATTTTTGCATAGCATAAATCATAAATCATTATTGTATTAGATATAGAGATAACCTAAGAAGACCCAGCAGTATTATCTGTTATAATACAATTTTTATTTTTAGTATTTAGAAAATTATGCGGCTTCATCACATCAAGGTAAGCCCATAGCACCAACTTTAGCGTCCTAACTATAAAGAAGTTAATGTTTTTACTTACCTTTTAATACTTTTTTTGACACAAAACAATATTATAATTCCAATAAGATTGTACTGTAATATTATGCACCAATAAACGAAATATAAGCGGTTGCAAACGAAAATTACCAAATTGTTACAAAAACTAGAAACATAAAAATGACGGCGAAACGGAAATGCATCAATGATTCAGTGATTCGATTTGTTTTCGTTATTGGCAATTTTGCATGGCATTGGTTGGCATGTCACTTTTAGATTCTCTATGGTTTAGCTAAAAATAACAAAGTGAAAACTTGACTTTAGAAATTTCAGTCATTTAAAATATACGTGAGAGACGTATTATATTATTCTGAATGCGTACAGCGAAATTATAAACAACGTGACTGGGATTGCTGATGTAACGAATAATGTATGTCGAACGCAATAATTTATTATTCTGAGAGAGTGACCATAATAGAGACTTCCTTCACTGGCATCTCTGGGCATCCATATTTTTTCTTTACGGCTACATTACCATTTCAGAGTAAATTTTTAGTGGAGAGATGGTTAAATGATTTTAATTATTGCGCACCATTATTTGTATAGTTTACAGAATATCTACATGTTTTTTTTTTCATACTATGAGTGTCTGTAACGAAATAATGATTATTCTAATGGCAACATATTCAGTAAGCTTAACACAAGCATTTCTTAAGTCGATCGATTGTACTCTTGATATATATAGTCAGTTTGACACACTGAATGAATGAAATGAATGAGTTATTTAAACTTTTTTCATATTTTGTTCTTCTGTTTAGAACTTTTATTTTTCTTTAATTTGAATAACAAGACTAAAAGTGATTTCACTCTAAATATTTATAAATGATGAAACAGCAAAAACAATAAATTTAATTATGTTTTATTTCTATCATTAAGTTAATAGTAATGTTCGTAAGTAAACTTTAATTCATAAATAGTTATTTATGTATCTCTTTCGGTCGATTTCTGATACTTATGCATTTTCAGATATCGAAATTAATTTTCTTAAGACCATCAATGCTAGGTCGATACAAACAACAATCATGTACTTGCACAACGACCGTAGCAGACGAGGAAAAGGAGAAGGAATTGGAAAGAATCGCTCGAAATGTAAGGAAGTGATAAGTTTATTATGTAAGAAAAATTTATTCTACTACTCTAATATTATTTATAAATCGTTAATAATTGATTGATGCACCCGCCTGCTCTAACAGTTTACGTTGGCGGGCACCAGTGGACGATTGTGAATTATGTAGTAATAACGACCATGGTTTTTATGGGGATAGTGTGGAAGTATATCTGCTATCAATTAGGTCATTACTCCTAATTACTTAGAAATTTCCTAGCGGGTACAGTATTCCATTCTCATCCTTAAAAAAAAATTGGTGTAGATACATAGCATACATAGCATAGCAGATATAGCATAGATACAAAACTGTTATACTGACAATACTCCCATGTCAATGTAATAGAACCCAAAATTAATGAGTTTTTTTTATAAATTGATACAAATTATAAAGATAAATATGGGAAGATGCATGCTCAGCTGATATGAAATAAAACTATATAGATACTTATTTCAGGCATCCATAGATGAACCACCAACTGCATGCTGTCAATCCGGCTGTGCTAATTGTGTATTTATAGTTTGGGCGGAGGCATTGACCAGCAAGATGGATAATGCAGGCCCAGAAATAGCTGAGAAAATACTGAAACTCGTTGAAGACCCATCAATGAAGGCATACTTGGAGATGGAGCTAAGATTGCGAGGTCTAAAGAAACAATAGAATAGAATAGAAAATCCTTTATTACTAACTTCATTTAAGCACTTTTGAATAGTCATTATTCTTTTTTAATCTACCGCTTATTCGGTAAGCTGTCTCGTCACAAGAAGAATGAGCAAGAAACTTGTGTATTGTTCTTTAAACTAATAGTTGGAAGTTTACATTTTTCAAATTGAAATGTGTGAATACAAACTACCAACGGGCACTAATTTATTATTATTAAATCAGTTCCTACAGGCAGAACTCATTCACAACTATGATCTATAATTGTGTATGTATTAAAACTAAAGAAAATACTTAATAGATTATTTATTGTTTGGATACATTTTTGTAATTAGTAGTTGGTGTTTGTGTAATTATTGTATATATTGATATTGATTCTATGTACATATGAAACATTAGCATAGTGTAGAGTAATTTAATATATATGTAAATATGAAAAATTGAAATTATAAGCAAATTAAATGTTCCACTTCTATTTTTTTTATAAATTAATTAATATTTATTTAAAGAGATAAAAATGCCTCTGTCTCTCCATTTTTTGCTGTACAAAATAATTTTAACATAAAATGTATTAATGTTCGTTCAGCAATTTAATTGTGAAAGCAAATGTAGGGACAGACAAACTTTTTTGCATTCATAATATTAAAGAATACTAGTTCTAATACATAGGTACAAGGAAAGTCCTGAATTTTTCGCTATTTGAAAAAGTCCTTTTCCAAACTCCTCTTGTTTAATGCCAATAAGCTTACAATACTTACCAACAATAGGTTATATCTAATTTATTTTACACTAGTAATACCTAACATAAGCTGTGGTATAATAATAATAATAATAATATAATAATAATAATGTATTTACAAAAAAAATTATACATTAGTATCAGTTGTCAGAACAATTCTCACTAGATGGCGCTGTGTGAATCTATTATTATTATTATCTTCATCTGTGGTAAAATTAAGAAAAATCACAGGATTTTACCACATTTATTTATTTTTTATCGAGCTTTCGATATTTAAATACAATAAAAATAAATAATACGTAGTAAAAAGTCTATGATTTTTCTTAATTTTACGTATAAATAATTACAGCGTCAAGTTTAATAAAGTATATTCACAATGATTGTTTTGACAATGGTAATATACTTGACATTAATAGCAATTGACCCAATATTAACAATCCTTTCTCCAAAATATAATACCAACAAATAGACGCTTGAAATTATATAAAACTTGAAGTAATTTAAAGAGTTTCATTATCTACCTGGCTGTCAGTAATTTAGTCCGATAATTGTGATATTTAATTGGAAAACTTATTCGCAAGGCTCAGGTGAAATGTTCAAATATTTAACTAGAATTAAACAAAAGTTATAGAGTACACTAGTTTATGGGGTTAAACTTTTTAATTGAATATCGACAGGATATATTTTCAGTTTTATGAGTTGTATAGTTCAGTTATGTCACATCTTCACGACCAAAACACCAGATGGGGTAATCGCAGGCTTGTTAACAGACGTGACTAGGTAATATTTAGCTGGAAGGTACTGGGCGTGAATTTTTTTTATGGATGATAATGGAATGGTGCGCCCGCCTGCGGTAACGGTTTACGCTGGCGGGGCACCAGTGGAGGATAAGATGAACATGAAGTCAGTCCAGTTAGCCCGTTGTCGATAAATTCACCAAGAATTTATCACGATGGCTTCCAGGGGGAACCGCGTGGAGGTCAACCTACTAATAAGATCGTCAGTCCACATTACTAACAATCCCTTTTCTCTCCTGAATATATTTATTATGGCATGGGCAAAACGAGCTTGCGGTTCAGTTGATGTTAAGTAATCACAGCCCATGAACACTCGCAATACACGTCAGGGGAATTTCAAATGCATTGCCGGCCGTTTAAGAAGGAATAAGCTCTTTTCTTAGCCTTGAAGCCTTGATTCAATATCATATCGATTCAGAAATACCATTGCTGGAAGGTGATTTCACAATGTAACTGTTACGTTATTCAAACAACAAGTGTAGGCTGTGAATGATACTTTATTCCTTTTTTATAATAGGTGACACATTAGAGTATTTATTATTTATCTACCTACATATTAGTTCATAATATCTGACAGTAACCACATTGTAGAATGATCTTCCAGCGATGGTAAAGCGTGACAAAATTTCTAGAAAAATTCACGTCTGAATACCGCCATTCAATGATCAGGATGGTATTTTAGTTATGGGTAGTTAGTGCGATGGTGAAATTTAGAAGCTGGTATTTATCCGAACAATTCCTCAAAACACCAGGCGATATATTTTGTAGAAAATGCCAATAGATGCAACGTGTCACCGTAAAGCCTATCGGTCGAGTCTGTTACAAAGATGTTGATTTTATAAGTATAGAATTAAAATAAATGAATAGAAAAATTGCGAGGTAACTTGATTTGAGCTGGTATGTGCATGTTATGCAGAGGAACGAGGATCACGTCTTATGGAAAGTGTATAGTATGAATATGGATGGATGTAAAGGGAGAGGACGCCCTAAGAAAAGATGAGTGGATTGTGTGAGAGATGATATGAATAAAAGAAGAGTATATTCATATATGACGACCGATAGAGAGCAGTGGAAGAGAATGACATACTGCGCCGACCACAAATAATGGGATAAAGGCAAGTTAATGATGATGAATGATGAGAATTGTATTGTAAGATTGTTTTTATGTTCATTTGTTTTCCTTTGTTAGGGAATACGAACTTAAAAATAGGATTGAAACGCTATCATTTTATATAAAATTTATATTTCAACAACCAACAGCAATTATATATTTCACTTACGGCTATTGTCAACTTCTCATATATCTTAATTGGTACACAGATGTCATTATATTACAACTAAATATAATTCCTATGCACTTGTATTAAAGTTGAAATTGTAGATGACATTTATTTTAATACATACACAGATCTGTATCGTGGCCAAATCGTAGAATAGAATATTTTATGAAATATTCAGACATAGTGAATTACTCTTTAATATCTAATAAATAAGGTTTATTTTATAATTGATAATTCTATGAAGTACATAGTCATGAATTATTAAATGATATACTAATCATTTTATATTACGTCTAACTATAATATAATATGAACCATAAAGCATATAACCCAATGGTAAGTGATTACAATCCGCAACACCAGAGAAATTGCCGGCCTCTTAAGAAGGTATAAACTCTGTTCTTGAAAGTTTCAATATTGTATGGATTCGTAAATACATTTTTGATATCAATTTTACGACTTGGTCACAACATAAATGACTAGACAAATCACTTATCCTAAATGTGATGCAGTTTTAGAATAATAAAATTATACTAAGCACATGCAATTTTGTTTTCAATATGAATTGACATTTTTATGACACCCATACATATATCTATATTTTATATTTATTTTACAATTTACCAAAATCTTTATCTATTTTACAAACAGCGCCATAGAAAAAATATTGAATATTTTCTTCGCAACTTCTAACATGTTGTTACATTTAATTTTTATATTATATTCCTTAGCTAGAATTATGTAGAGAGCCGTTATCTAAATATATATAACTCAAAGGTGACTGACGTAGTGATCTATCAACGCACAGCCCAAACCACTGGACGGATTGGGCTGAAATTTAGCATGAAGATAGATGTTATGACGTAGGCATCTGCTAAGAAAGGATTTTGATTAATTCTACCCCCAAGGTGATAAAATAGGGGATAAAAGTTAGTATGAAACTTTGTCAATTTCAAACCGACCGGGCTGAGACTTTACATGCATAAAGCTACTATGATGTAGGCATCCCCTAAGAAAGGATTTTGATAAATTCCACTCCTAAGGGGATAAATTAACGAGCGAAGCCGCGGGCGAAAGCTAGTTTTATATATAACCCATGTAACTTCATCTGGATTACCTACATTTTCTCCGTTTTCGCAACACTTTTCTGGCCCTCACAGAACACTGCAAATTGAACAAACTTGTAGGCCTATGGCACAACAAAAATCTGCAGATATTGCCAAACTGAAGAGGAAACGCCATTACACATCCTATGTGGTTGTAGCCCATTTATGCATAAACGTAATATAGGAGATATTACGTTTGAAAATTTACAATCTATCCTGAGGAGATAAGAACCACCGCTCCTAAGAATATCTTTCAATTCTTGTCCCTGACGGGACTAGGTAGCGAACTCTGACAAAGGGCGAGCACAATAGATCTATGTAGGTCACAGTGCTATAGGTCCAAGGACCTGACAATATATTTTCTTTAAGATAATCAATTGTTAATACTATATTCTTTTCAATATACTAATTATTAGTTGAGGGTCTATTTTATTTGTATATTTATTGTTACCGACCCCACAGCCTAAACAACCCAATAAAAAAACACTTCATGTTGATCCGCGTCTATAGGTCAAAGCATATATATCTATATCCTTGTTTGATAAATTGGCTATACAACATTAAAAGTTTTATTCAATTCCAACAGTTCCTGATATTTTACGCTTTCAACTACCTTCTCAGAAAAGAATCTCTTTAACTTTATTATATTAGTACTTATAGATTGAAAATCTTAATAATTGTATAGCAAGTCGCAAATCAGTACATTCAATTCAAAAGTCTATGAAGATGTGGCCTGTAAATTAGGTTTCATATCGTATAAAATTCTAATTGAAGTATTATATTTGAACCGACTTGAGCAATTTCTCCTAATGACTGATTTTTCGGGTAAACACCTATTTTCTTTATGACTGACTCGAAAGAATTTGAAATAACAAGACTTGAACAAAAGATATATTAGTATATATTAGTTAATATATAAGTTTTTTTTATATAAAGATATATTAATATATAAGTATTTGAAATTGACTGTTTTTTTTGGTTAATCACATTTAATTTACCACTGACTTTTTCCAAGATAAATATAGGGGGGTATCACCATTTTCTTAAATATTCAGCAGGTACAACAATCATATTACATATTTAGCATAAGTGAAATTAAAAAATATATATATAAATGAGCTAATAATACCTCTTTATGGCGTACACAGAACATATACAAAAAGTATATTTTTCTTATTTCTCTGTTGTCAGTTTATATTAATTAAGTATATTTATTTCCGCTTTTAACTGCTCAGTGAGTTTTCCGATAAATATCCGAACATATTGACCGAATTTGGTCCACAAACCCATTTTTCATGAACTCCATAAAAATGCTAATCAAAGTTTATTGGAGCGATATCTTTTGACACACCTTCACAAGTTAGTAAAATGTACAAGATATATAAATAAATAATATCAGCGAGTGTAACTTTTTTATGTTATGGCAACCCAAGTAGAGCTTGAGTTATATGTATACCACACAACTTAAATAGGTACATACATAAAAATGTACATTTAACAAATTGCAACCACTGCAACTGTACGACTACATAGA